GAGTATAATATTCCAATAACCAAAGCACACAAACCAGCCTCTGAATTACAAAATACTGTAAAAACTGAACAAAAATCCTTATGGTAACCTAATCAAGCTGCCAGCTGATCCATAACTAAATAAACCAACCTCCTTTTTGACATGCTCATCTTCTAGCTTTTCATTTCATCAGCATTGATTGCATTCTCCTGGCTAGAGAAAACGAACCAGGGAACCTTTTCTTCCAGCAACAGCTTCTTCTTCTTCTCTGTCCTGTTTCCTCCCTGCCTGCTGAGCTCTCCTTCCCCTTCTCTTTTCCTGTTGTCTTTTTTTCCCTTTCCCACCCAAGCCACATCCTTTTATATCCTCTCCTCCCCCCTCCTTTTCTTCAGTTCAGCTCCAGCTCTGCACTGCTTCTGGAAGTGCCAATCAGCTGAAGCCCTGCGGCTCTTGGGGCTTCTGTCAAGCCCAGACAGTTCTGCAGCTGCAGCTGACTCTCCCTCAGGCTTGGTTTCTTTGGCTTATTCCCCTCCCCTATTACACTTCTCTAGGATGGTTGCGTACCACCTGCCATTTGGCAAAGTACCACAGGTGGTACATGTATCACTGGTTGAAAAGCCCTGGGTTAGATCTTCTATTTTTTAAGTCTAACTCTAGCTTTCTTCCTTTGCCAAATAGTTTTCCAGGCCAAGACAATTAAATCACCAAAGAATTTTTTCTCTATTTTTATGAATGTTGCTTGAAATGGAAAAGACAATTTAAGTAGGGTATTTTTGAGAGGGAATTCCACCCATTTATATTTCTTAAACAGCTCCCACTTTCCTTCTCCCTCAACTTCTCTTTTCATTTTTTGTCTCCCATTTTCTGGCATTTCCACTAACAGTTCTTTAGTCCATTTTCAAAGACCTTCTTCCTTGTCCTCAGGTATTTTTTGAAGACCTAAGGGGTAGAATGTCTTTTCCATTTCCATTATTGTAGCTAAGTCTTGCAGGGTTTTATTTGTCTGTGCCAATTTGTACTCCCCTTCTTTTATATTTTCCATCTTTAAATCCATTTCCTTTGTTTCATCTTCTATTTTCTGACATTTGTTCATACTATGTGGTTGTTTTCTGGGAACCTTCTAATTGTAGGTTTAGATTAGAGATTTGCTCATTTATGTTAATTAAATTGTTTTTAATCTCATCATAGTTTATTCTTGTGTCTTCTTTATGTAAAATAATTGTCCCTCCCAGACAGATCTAGCCAAAATTCAAGTTTTTCATTCTCTCCAAATAGTCCTTAAGATTAAAAACCAAAGCTCAATAGATGTTTCTAACCCAAGAAGGTCAGGGTAGTAAGTATGCCAAAATATTTTTCTCTGTTGCCAGCTGTTCTCTGTTAAGCTAAGAGTCATCGACAACAAAGAAGCTAAGTTGTTATCTACTTATAAACTTCTTGCCAGGTCAGCTTCAGTCATTACAGCTATGATGCTATACTCTAATCCACAACTAGATGTCACTCCATACCCATTTTCCAACTCTTAAAACAGTTGATTTTTTTATATTTCGCCCCAATATTCTTTTGAAGAGAAAATCTTAACAGTTTTCTCAGTTCTCAGATTTGTCAAAACTATAATTTTATATTGCTTCTACTTCAGTATTATGTATTTCTGTCCCCCATAAAAAAATTAAAATGCTGTCTCCATTCCTTGGAAGGGTGGTACTGCAGTCCCCTTACCTCTCATGTTTGGAGGTTTTAACTTCTTGGGAATCTTTTCCAGGAAATCCAGTCATAAAATAGTAAAGAAAGGATCAATATTCTCACCCAGATCCAAGCACACTGTTTATGATCTGCTAATTCAGGGCTTTTCAACCTTTTCACAGACTGTATCACCTTTAGGACATGACAATATTTGAGTATCACAAGTGGCTTAGCAAGGTGTAAAAAACTTAACAAAAAAAGAGGAAAAAAAAGGGATAAAGTACACCCACTCAGATGCACCACACTTGAGAAGCTTTTCAGATAGATTTACTGTACCTGGTCACTCATTCTGAAAATAGCTGCACTTTGGGTTTTGACAATACAGATATCCTCAATTACCATCCACATTTGAAACTGGTTACTGGTCATTAAGTAAGGCAGTAGCTAAGAGATGGCACTGCTGTGCTTATGAACTCTGTTCAGCTTTACAGACCTGCAAAGATTCTAAATGCAAGGATAGGTTGCCCAGTTAGTTTTTCCATCAGTTGTTCTCTGAACAGTTGCTAAATGAGGCGGTCACTAAATGATATTACTTTTATCAGTAATTTATACTTAATCCCTTTTCTAGTAATGATTACCTTATCACAGAAATATTCATATGTCTGATAATTTAGCTGTAGTGCAACCAACTTCCACATGCAAGGTGTTCAGTGAGCTGCCTACCAGTCACAGCTCATTTTTCAATTAAAGTATTGCTCCTTCAGATCCTTTACTGATGTGGCTGCCTAGGAGCATCTGCTCCCACCCACAAAGCTGCACTGAAGAATTTTACATATTTTATTCAAGTTGAGAGCACCTTTCTAAGTACTTTTCAGAAAGCAATAAATATCCTTCCTCAAAACTATACATAGAGATTATTCAGGATTCCATACCCCTCCCTGCTTTTGTCAGAGAGAAGAAGTTCCCAGAGGATCAATTCTCACAGACAGGCCGGCTGCAATCCTCTCAAAATAATGTGATTTCTTGTTGCTGAACTCCAATACCACAGCCATAAGTAGGACCATACTGGATAGATTGAAGGGAAATATATCCCAGCAAATATGATTGGGCAGAGATTCCCAATTCATCTTAAAGCAAAAATAAAAAAGAATAAAACATGCTATTTTATTGAAATAAAAAATTCTGGACCAATGAGCAAACTCTGATCCTTAGCAGTAACTCAGCAATAGTTAATAAAAAAGGAAAGGCAACAGGGTCCTTCTGAAGAATCCAGATATCTTTCCAGGGTTTCTACAAGTCCATTTTTCAAGACAAAAATGATCAGTCCATAATTAGAGATGACTCTCAGCACCTTCGTTTGCATTTCCAGGAGATTAGCAACCTATTTTCACCATTTTAATACTTAGAACCTCTACTCTTCCCCTCACAAAAGACTACAAAAAGCCACATCCCTCTGTCTCCCAAAAAAAAGATTTTCCTATCCCTCCTCAGCCTAATATCTAGGAACCCCTCCCATTTGAAGCTTTCTAAACTTCCTTCATCCAGATTTGGAAAATAAACTGTGGCTGCCTTACTACAAGCTAACCCAACTTCCAGAAATGTGGTTTTACAGCTGATTGGCTGTGGCTGTGTGCACCAATCCTGGGCTCCTGCCTAGCTCACTTACTCGTGCTTCGCTGGAAAACATGCTGCTTGCTAACTTAGAAGAAGTGCCAGGATCAGTGCTGGGCTACATCTGATCTGCACTTCTGGGCAGCTCAGCAGAAGCGCAGATCATCTGTAGCTGCACTCCTTGGCTCCTGCCCAGCTCATTCGCTCACTAACTCAACCTTCACCTGAAAACATGTGCTTGCTAAACATGCCACTCGCTTGCTCACGTTTCTCCCAAAAACACTCTGCTTGCTCACTCACCCTTCCTCTGAAAACAGGCCGCTCGCTCTGTCTCTCCTCACTGCTTCAGTAAGAAAAACCTCTTCTCTTCTCGGTCTGCCTTTTTATACTTTCTCTTCTCTCTGACCTCCTCCTCATTTTCTCTTCCGGGTGCACCAGAAGCTACAATTACCATGTCACCATGTGTGCAGATCCTGGGGATTCTGCCAAGCTTTGCAGCTCCAGGTAATCTCCTCTAGATCTGTGCAGCTCTGCTTTAACTGGTTCCCTCTCCCACTACAATGAGCTAGGGCTCACGTACTACTAGCCACGTACCACCAGTTTAAAAGCCCTGTGCTAATTAGTGCTTTTTTCTTAGGTTGTCAGTAGCTGGAAGCTGGCTGCCAGAATGCAGCCAGCCTTTCCCCTGCTGGTTTGGAGGGCTTTTCTCAGATGAAATGGATTGAATGCCATCTCTCCATGATCAACGAGGGACCCCTATTTCATTATCACCTCTCTGGGGTGACTTTAGGCCTTTTTAGGGACCCCAGCAGGGCAAAATCAGACATGGAAAGCAGAGCCCTGCCTTTCAGCATCCATATCACTATGACACCAAACTGGAAGGCCTGCCAAAGTATTTCTAAAGAAAAGAAATATTCTGTGTTAAAGAAACTGAAAACCAATCTGATGCAGAAGTTAAGGCTAGAAACCAGAAGACTGGAAGTTCTATTCCCCCTTAGGAATTTTGCCAGCTGTGTGACTTTGGGCCAATCCTTCTCTAACAGCCCTTGAAAGGAGGCAATGGCAAACCATTTTTAAAATTAAAGTTGCCAGGAAAAAAATATAGGAACTTTTTAAGGCAGTTGCCAGGACTTGAGGTTGACTGAAAAGAGCAAAATATCAAAGTTTATGAGGAAATGACCATTACAGGTCAGAAGTGTTATAGAGACTTATATGCTCTTAGAAATGCTGAAGCTTTAGACCACATTATTTAAACCTCCTCTGTATTTCAGTTTTTCCCCTGTCAGAAGCATATTTTGGAGTTAAAACCTGAGCCAGTTTTGCTCAAGAATAAATGAAAATGAAATCCAGACATCTTTGAAGAAAGGAGAAATATTTATTTCTAAAAGCAAAAAGTTTGGCTGTAGGGGGGGGCTGCAGAGAAATGGGGTACAATGACGTACTTTTATAGGGGAGTTTGTCTGAGGTGTGGAAATGTCTATATGCTGATTCTAGGGTGACACTTGAGGGTTGTGTGCGATTGTGTATGTATGTGTAGGTATATAATCTATGATGTTTATTCTTATGAACATGTAATTCTGCTGGGAGACCTAATTTAATTAATTTTATTTGTGTTTATACACCTTGTCCTTTGATATGTGGATTAGGTCTGGGGAACTTATTCAGTGGTTTAAAGAAGTGAAAAAAAATTGTCCCCCCCAAAAAAAAACCCAAAATATTTTTTATTATTATTTTTTATTTAGTTTCAACTGTCAGTTATGTGTCAATTATGTAGTGGAGACATTGATTCTCAAACCATTCTGTTAATGTTTTAAGAGAAGATGTAAATAATATAAAGAATAAAATATATTTTGATATAAAATTTCTCACACCACCAATTGTACACTCTGTATCTCACTTCACTAAACAACAGGAATTGTCAGCATGTGGAATGCCAAAGCTGCCCAACATCCATATTTAGAAACTGTAAAAGGTGTTGAAAGTAATTAGGGACATTTGTAAACCAACATATATAGTGCTGGATTTGCTGCATCCAAACTATCCCTTTCTACTATATTCTTTTATTCACAGAAGTAGGGAAAACTATAGTGAATAGAATATAAACAATATTAAAAGAATTTATCAAAATCTCCACAGTTGAGAAAGGACAAATTTGATATTTTTATTTCTCATGCTATAAATGATTGGATTGAACAGAGGTGGAACAAGGGCATACAGAACAGTCAACCCAAAATCTATATAAGATGGAGTATTAGTGGCAGGTCTCAGATTGGCAAGGCATCCACTTAATAATAAGATAAACACTATTGTGAGGTGTGGAATACAAGTGGATAAGGCTTTTTGTCTTCCTTGTTCAGAAGGGATTCTAAACACTGCCTTGAAGATCACTGCATAAGATACAACTATAAAAGTAAAACAACCTAGTCCACCAATAACACTGGCCATAAGAATTCCAGCCTCAAATAGATTTAATCCAGAGCAAGATAGTTTTAATAATTGTGGAATTTCACAGAAGAATTGATTGACAATATTAGAACAAAAAAGGATGGAAAAAGTGCCAGTGGTATGCAACATTCCATAGAGGAGACCTGTAACCCACACTAGAATTATTATTTCAGTACAGTATTTCCAATTCATCACCATTTCATAGTGCAATGGATGACAAATGGCAACATATCGATCATATGCCATGACTGTCAGGAGGGATAAATCAGAAGCTTCAAAGGAGAGAAAGAGAAAATATTGAGCAACACAACCAAAGTAAGAAATGTGTCTGGTATCCATGAGTGAATTTATCATGGATTTGGGGACAATGACTGAAACAATGCCCACATCCTGCAGAGCTAAATTCATGAGAAAGAAATACATGGGGCTGTGCAATCGATGGTCAAAAACAACTGCAGAGATGATGAGAAGATTTGTTGTTACAGTTGCAAGATATAACACAAAGAAGAAGAAGAAATGTAAAAACTGCAGATGCCGATTTTTTGATAATTCCAGAAGCAGAAAATAAGGCACTGTGGTTCGATTCTCCATGCTTTATTGATGACAAAGCTGGCATAACTGCAAGGAATGAAAGGAGGGAAATTCAGTTAGATAAAAAAATTTTGGCAGCATTTTGATATATGGAGAAACAGGAAACATCAACAAATGTAAATCATGGTCAGAATGAATACAGGATCAGAGCATGGAAAACAAAATTTTAGGATGGGGATATTAGAGCACACTCTTTTTCATTTTTACCCAGCTCTACTAAAGAACTAATGACCAACATCACATTTTTTCTTCTTTCCTCTTTTCAGTTGTGTTATCTCATGTAGTGATCAAAAGCATTGTCTAGGAATAGAACGAAGTTGGTTCAGGTCTATTTCCATCAATGAAAGATTTCCAGAATAATTGGACTCATCATAATGTGTTTGCATTCCTACAGGATTGCGGTAGTATTGGAAAATTGGAGAATTCCAATATATGGTACATTGTGCTTCTAGAAGACAGGCAATGTAAATCTAGCCAATAAATATAACAATAATTTGCTATATCTCTTACATAGAAATCTTGAGAGCACACATCTTGAGAACTTAAGTTTCAACATAACTGCTATTTTGATATTCACTTGGTGATAAGCACACAAATATACCACTGTTAAATACATTTAATCAAAGGACCTTATATATTAACAAAATAAATTAATAAATCCCCTTATACAGCGATCAGAAGGAAATGAACATTTAGTTTGAAAAGGGAGTCTCCCATCCAATAAAAACCAAAAATGTCTCTAGTAGAGTTTGGGCAGAAAGTGAGACAAAACCTACTGCACCTTTGAAGTAGGACATCTCAGAATTTCTTTTAACAATGTCGAATGCCATATAAGCACATTTTCAACAATAATACTTGTTTAAAAACAGAGAAATAAAAATATTTAGGAATCTTACCATGCATTTCTTTTTCCTATAGAGATAGATTATGAGATGAATTTGCCAATGCTAATTCAGATGAATTAGTGTTCAGCTTATGTATGAAAGCTTGGTCCAAATTTCTGTATATTATAACTAGTTTTTATTCTTCATAATTATTATGTGCAAAAAATACCAATGTTAAATATTTGGTTAATTCATTAAGAAAAAGAAAAATTACTTACAACATAACTCTTACTTGACATTCATTAGGTAGTATTATACGTAATAAATACAATACACTGGAAAATATATTTTTTAAAGAAATCAGATATAGACCAAATGAATAAATAAATCCTCCAACAATGGAAAGGAAAATGATAGTCCAATTTGGGGAGAAAAAAAAAAACAGTTTCCCCTCAAGTGGAAACCTCTACTCTCTCCAGGAGAATTTGGCCACAAAGTGAGATGCAGCCTATTAGAACTATGAACTCTGACATTTCAGTATTTCTTTCAGCAATGTGGGCCCACATTTTCAATAATAATACTGTAATGTTTAACAATAAAACAACATTTAGAAATATTATCATTTCTTTTATTCATATCCAGGGAGATTTGAATTTTCTTTGGTAAGGCTAATTTTCCTACTATTGATCTAATTTTCAGGTTTGGTTCTCCATATTTCATTTATAAAAAAGCTGGTATAACTGCAAGGAAGCAGATGAGGGAGAAGTAGTTAAATAGCATTTGGGAACTATCATTTTAATATGTGTTAAGAATAAAAAAACATCAAGAAATGTAAAAATGGACAGAATGACCAGAGGAATCTGAGCAAGAACCACAGTTGTACAGTGGGGATTGCCAATTTCAATCCAATTGTACTAAAGAACCAAGCACCAACTTCACATCTTTTCTTCTTTCCTTTTTTTCAGTTCTATTACTTCATGTACTGATCAATTGCCTAGGAATTAGAAAAATCTTCTTCAGGTCTATTTTCATCAGTGATAGATTACTCAGAATAATTGAACCCATCGTAATGTCTCACTTTTCCTACATAATTGTGGTACTGTTGGAAAATTGGACAATTCCAATGTATGATGCTTTGTGCTTTTAGAAGAAAGGCAATGTAAATCTAGCAAATAAATAATGAATTAATTTGCCAAATCTTTTACTTGGAAACCTTGAGAGCAGAAATTTCCTACTTGTATAATTGCTCTCTGAGTTTGCATTTGTCTGCATTTGGAAGTCTTTATGTAAATGATATAGATATCTTTTTCTCAATTTCCCTAGCAGATTTTAGGCTAAAGAATAGAATACAAAGCCTTATTACTAATAAACTAATATACAACATTCTTGAACATGTATTTAATGGCATATTGTTAAATAAAAAATGATAAAACTACTTACAACTTAACTGCGGATTTGATATTATAACTGTCTTTTATTCTTTATAATTATCATGTGGAAAGGTAACAACATACCGTATGTAATTAATTCATTGTTTACTAGCTACACATAAATCTCTCGAAATTGTCTTCTGTTTCATAATGTTTTTAAATCTGCTGTTTGAGGTTCAATTTCTGATAAATTATATTAAAATCATTTGTTGTTATCCTTAAAACAACTTAACTTATTCTATTATATCAAAAAAACTATCTTATGCAATTATTCTCTTAAATTATCTTCCTGCAAAGAAGTTATAAAGTCAACCCTGAGATACAACACATAAGGCATTTTAAAATAAATACCAATTTGCTCCATAAAAGAGGGAAATATCATTTCTGTTAAATTTTCAATTTATAACTGACTTATTTCTTTCTATAGATATTATCTTCTATGCTGTTAAGAATGTTAAATATCTTACCAAGTCAGTGCTGTCCTACTAATTTTCATGGAGTGAAACCTTTATCTGCATTCATAGAGATTTCTAACCTGAATGTTTATTAATCATTTTTGTTGTGTTTCTCTCAAGAGACTTCTATACCAAAATGAAACTGATTTATTTGTGGTTATTAATATAGTTAGCAAACATAAATAAAACTCCCTCCTGTGTGTACATTAAGATAATTGGCAATTAAGAACACAACAGCTATCCCAGGACCAGTTATCACAGTCCTATAGAATAATAATATTTCATATTGGGAGATTTCTATTCTGAATGTTTATTAATCTTTGTTTTGTTTCTCTCAAGAGACTTCTACACCAAAATGAAATGACTTATTTGTGTTTATTAATATAGTTAGCGAACAAATAAAATTGACTCCTGTGTATTTAACATAATTAGCCACTAAGAATACATAATCCTAGGACCAGTTATCACAATCCTATAGAATAATAATATTTCAGATTGTTAACAGAATGGGGGGCTGCAGTGTGAATTGTGAGAGGTGAAACCTGAGTCAAATGAGAAGACCTCCCTGGCATATATTTCATCATTTCTGATTCTCTTTTATCTACACTTTTTAAAAAAACCAACTTCTATTTCTGCCTGCCACAGGTAGGAGAAAGCTTGAAACCCATAGAAACCTAGTCAATTACACAATAAAACCATATGGTATTACTGTGGGAGCCCAAAAAAGATATAGTTATTTGATTAATACAGAATAAGATTCTGTGTTACAGTATGGGTAATCATATGCCAAAACACTGAAGCAGAGTAGTGTTAATGCAAATGAACATGGTATTTTGAGGAATTTAGTAAAATCTTTTGATTTCTCCCTATTTTAAAAAAGTCTAAATGTTTAGAGCTCATTTGAGCTAACCTTCCCCCCCCTTCCTGCTTGCTGAATAAAGGTGTGGAATCTTTACATAACTCCAAAGCTCTTGTTCTCTGTGTAAGTCTCACACTTTTGATTCCCATTTCAGAGCCCTGGACTTCTCCAGATGGAGCAAGCATTAGAAAGGGTCTTGAAGGATTTGTGCTGTTTGATATATGTAATACCCACACAAATTAGGTAAATGTTTAAAGACTTAGAGCAAAGCATAGCAAAATAGTAACTATAACTGTAAAGCATAATGTGGACAACAAATATCCACAAATAAGGCAAGTAAACAAGAAGGAAACATTCAATACAGGAATATAAATATAGAAGAAAATGTCATATTCCTTTAGCTGAAAGCCCCTCACCCTCAAAAAATGTACTTATATTGTCTAGATCAGCGGTTCTCAACCTGTGGGTCACGGCCCTTTTGGGGGTCGCATGAGCCTTTCACAGGGGTTGCCTAAGACCATTGGAAAACACATATTTCCGATGGTCTTAGGCAGGGCTTGTCAACCGCCTTCTCTCCCTCCCCCCCTCCACTCCACCTCACTTGTTTGTGGAAAATATGCTGCTTGGCGGCAGTCTGCACGAACTTTACCAAATGTGCCCTGCAGGAGGTGCATGAAGAGTGCAGGCACAGAGCAAGGCCCCGCCCTCCCCAGAGACTCATTGTGCAGCAACCGGATTGACTTCTTCTTGTGCACATAGGTCAGCAAAGGGGAGACCACCACAGCACCCAACTCCTGCGCCCGTCAGCTGGCAACCCCCAAACTTGCACTTTGCCACCCCACCCGTCCTCGACTCCTCCTCTGCCCGTTCATGTCGAGCCCACTGGGGCTTGACAGGGAGAGAAAGAGAGAGGGAAGGAGGAAGGGACTCCTCCTCCTCTCCTAAGCTTCAAAGCACGATAGGCTTCCCAAGGGCGCCACAATCCTCACGAAAGTTGGGAGGGAGAAGCAAAGGGGGTGAGAAAGCTCACGGCGGGCTCAAAGGAGCACCTGTCAGTGTTGGTGATGAGAAATTCCCCACAAACCCAGGGAAGGGGTGGAGAAAAGGAGCCCCATTTGGGAGGAAACCGCCACCTTCTTCTCCTTGGCTTTGCGCTCTTCTGTTCCTCAGAAGAGAAGAGCGCAAACGGGCTGCCAAGCCTCTGCTGACTGGAACTTCCTTTCCTTCCCTCCCTCTTGGTCTCTTCCTCCTTCCCTCCCTCTCCCATTGTCCCTCCCTCCCTTCCTTCCTTCCTTCCTTCCTTCCTTCCTTCCTTCCTTCCTTTCCTTTGCCTCCCTCTTTGTCCCTCTTTCCCTCCCTCTTTTCCCTTGTCCCTTCTGTCCTTCCTTCCCTCTTGTCCAGGATCGGGGCAAGCCTCTACAGTTTGTATATATTGAAACCATGATTGTAAAATATTTTCTTGCCTTAACAAATCAAAAGACTTTAATTGCCAATCTGTACCTGACCAAATGAGCAATTCTTTATACGAAATATTATCAAAATTTACCCCTTAGAAACCCCTTGAATTGCCTGTCCAGGAATCCCCCAAATGGGTATTTTATAGTTTAATTTGTAATAATACTTCTTCCAGACTCGAAGTATGGCATTTCTTAAAATATGTGACTTAAACACCCAATCTACTTTCTTATCAAAAACTAAATATGCGTGGGCAAGCCTCTACAGTTGATCCGCACTTCTGCAGAGCAGCCCAGAAGCAGATCAGCTGTAGCAGCTCTCCTTGGCTCCTGCCCTGCAAACTTGCTTGAACTTTGCTAGAAAACATGCCGCTTGCTAATTTAGCAGAAGCACGAATCAGCTGTAGCCCAGCACTGATCCTGGAGCTTCTGCTAACTTAGCAAGCGAATGTTTTCGGTGAAGCTGAGCAAGTGAGCTGGCAGAGCTCTCCTCTGCCTCTGCCTGTGCACTGGCAGGTTTGGCATGTCACCATGGCCACTGGCAACAAAGCCACCAGCTACGCTGGCAGCCTATCCCCCTCCCCTTGTCCCTTCCTGGGATGGAGGGGGGGAGGAAGTAAGGGACGAAGAGGGAGGGAAGTAAGGGACAATGAGAGAGGGAAGGAAGGAACAATGGAAGGGAGGGACAAAGAGGGAAGGAAGGAAGGAAGGAAGGAAGGAAGGAAGGAAGGAAGGAAGGAAGGAAGGAAGGAAGGAAGGAAAGAAAGAAAGAAGGAAAGGACAATGGGAGAGGGAGGGAAGGAGGAAGAGACTAAGAACGAAGTGAAGGAAAGGAAGAAAAGAAGGAAGGGACAATGGAAAAGAGGGAGGGAAGGAGGAAGACACTAAAGGAGGTGAAGGAAAGGAAGAAAAGAAGGAAGGGACAATGGGAAAGGGAGGGAAGGAGGAAGAGACTAAGAGGGAGGTGAAGGAAAGGAAGAAAAGAAGGAAGGAAGGGACAGGGGGAGAGAAGGGAGGGAAAGAAGGCAAGCACCCACCCCAATCCCATCCCAGAGACTCATAGATTCCCCCCACAGGCACTCTGCAACCTGAGTGATCAGCTGGCCACACCCCCTGGCCATTGATCACGTGACTCTAGGACACTGTGAATGTCATAAGTATGAATGAGTTGTCAAGCATCTGAATGTAAATCACATGACCCTGGGGATGCTGCAACAATCATAAGTGTGAAAAATGATCATAATTTGCTTTTTCAGTACTGTTGTAACGTCAAACAGTCACTAAGCGAATTGTTGTAAGTCAAGGAATTACACAGTAATCCTAAATGTTATAAGAAACATACAGAATAAGATACAGGAATAAGTAGATCCTAGAGGCAGATTGTAGGATGACTGACTCTTTCTCTGTATCTGACAGTTCCTCAGCTGTGACTGGGATGTAGGGAAAAATAGCTAGAAAATGAAGAAAAACTGAACATCCCTGGGGAAGAAAAGGGCCTGTATTGAGAAACACAAGATTCATACAGTCTGTTAATGTAGGAAGGAGAGTGGCTGAGCCAGGGGGAGGCATCGAAGGGGAATTAGCCTATATTGGCGCAAGAGGACAACATCTCTCTCTCTCTCTCTCTCTCTCTCTCTCTCTCTCTCTCTCTCTCTCACACACACACACACACACACACACACACACACTTTTGAAAGTTGTTGGACCTTATCTAGTCTCATCCACGTAACAACCATCAGTCTGAGATTTCTTTGTATAGGCTTGACCAGTGGTGGGATTTAAATATATGAACTACTGGTTCTCTGTGTGGATACCATTTCCGGAAGTCCATTCTGAGCCTGGGCAACAAAAAATTAGTTACCGGTTCTGCCAAATTGGTGCAAACTGGCTGAGTCCTACCACTGGGCTTGACCAATAAAACAGCAAATTGACCCCTCTATGTTTGAGTCTGGTTATTGTTCTTGATAGTTAAGCAGGTAGAAGCAAAAACAGTAGTGTCCACATGTAAGAGTGATCACACTGGCAATAACAGTATATCAGTATTATGATGCAAGTACCACTCCTGTTACATAATTTGTGGGAGAGCCAGCCTCATCACCAGATGGATTTGTAACTGGCTAACAAACAGTATGCAGTCCTCAACAGAACTGCATCCACATGAAGGGAAGTAAGTAGTGGGGTAAATCAAGGTTTGGTTTTAGGCCCAGTACTCTTCAATATCTTTTTAAACAATCTATTTAAGTATATTTATTTTGTTTTATCATAAAAGGTAAAACACAAAACAGAAAAGCAAAGCAAAGCAAAACAAAACAAAAGCATATGTCCAACATTAACAACAACAAAAAATGGTGTACAAAAAAAGAGAAAAATGTGATCCAAATACCAAATAAATGTAATATTTATCATATAGAATCTATCCCAGCTGGATGCTAAAAAAAGAAAAAAAGGTTAAGATAAACATTACACTAATCTTCAAATCCTTCTGTTAACCATGTGTTATTGTTTTTAATTTATAGAAAGTCCACAAATGGTTTTGAGCCTCTTATAAAGCTCTGTAGTCCATTATTTCTGATCAAAGCAGTTAATTTTGCTATCTGCTAATTCAGTCCATTTTAAAATCATTCTTTAAAATCAGTCAGAATCCCTTTTTTTCTAGGGTTTGGCAAGTACAATCCTCACAACCATCACCCTATGAAGGAACAGTACCCTAAATTGTTTTTCAATTAGCTTGTCCATAATACCTAAAAGAAAAGCTTCTGGTTTCATTAATATTTTTGTCTTAAATATTTTCTGGATAATGGAACTGC